AAAAATGCATTATTTGCGCGATATTTGAAAGTTGAATTGAATTTTCTCATGTTCACTGACTTTTTCTTTAAGGAATTATATAATTGTCTATATACGTAGTTAGACGCAGCTAACTTGTTCAAAAACGCCTCTCGTGCTCATATCAGTTAATCGTATTATTATTAATATTATTAATTTATATGTGTTTCGTTACGTTTTATGCTAACGTTTCATTATGCTTTCGCTTTTTGTTTTTGTTTTAGTTTTAAGTTTTGTTTTGTTTTGTTTTCTTCTTCTAAGTTTTCATTTCAAATATAACGTTGTTATTGTTGTTGTTAAACTCGACGGCTTGGTCGAGAAATGTCGACGTCGGTTCAATAATAAAATTCTTATTGTCATTATGTACCTCACGCATTTTGAAGAATGCCATTCCGGTTAGTAGCGCATCAGAACCGGCCTGATGTTGTGGTCCGACACGTCGCAATTCCAACTGATCGGCCACCTCTTGTAGGCCACCTTTCAAATTCTTACACGATTTCATCAGATATTTAATATCATATATGTTGGGGAAATAGATGCGTAACAATTCGAAAAATTCACTCTCATCAGCGGGTAGATGTTGATCGGTTAACAGCTTGAGTAGATAACCAAAATCGTAGCCAGAATGAAAGCACAGCCATTTGATGTTATCCACAAGCACAATACCGGAGGACATAAGTAATTCGGCAAAATCGAGTGGATCAATGCCATCCTCTTCATGCTTTTTGAATTGTATGCCGGAGTTTTGTAGCAGATCTATTGAATCCTGCGCATACATATCCTCACTACGATATATAAAATATTGATTAATATACCATATGCTATATAATTGCATAATGCGCTTTTACCTTAAATTAAATTTAAAATTAAACTGCCACGTTGAGTAACCGGGCGGGGTTTTGCCCTCGTCATCCATGAATGTCAGTCCAAGTTGTATGATGCGCAGCAAATCGACGTTACAACGCAACAGTTGATAGTGATAATCGGCTGTGGAACGAAATTCGCCAACGGGACGCGCTACAACGCCGGGAAATTCGGTATCCATTGCCACGTAATGATATTTTTGCACAACTTTACGTATTGTGCGAAATTCCTCCTCAAGATTATGCTTCCAAACGTCCCGTATGCCGCACTCTTCATTGCTTGGTATATTCACGCTATGGCTAACGGCGCCTGAGCCGTGTCCGGTTCCGCTTATGGCAGAAGGCATTGCCTGAAAGTAATAATTCGGGCGCTATATATTAGCACAAATAATAGGGTGTGGTTAAAATCATATTTCAAATAAACGAAACCAAATTAAAAAATAATAATTATTAATAAAAAAATAAAATAAATAATTATAAAAATATAAAAAATAAAATAAATAATTATAAATATAAAAAATAAAATAAATAATTATAAATATAATAAAACCAGTATACATAATAATATGTAAACAATTAAATATACTTGTTAGCATGTATGTATATATTGAACATATAATTATGGTATAAGCGCAGACAGCGTGTTTATATGCACATATGTGTTACTTAGATATTATATTACATGAATACAGTATGAAAAACCATTTATTTAGGCAAACCGCAGCCACTTAAAAAAATTAAAAATTTAAATAATTTCAATTAAAAACTTTCATAAAAGAAAGCAAACTTTCATAAAAAGGTTAACAAAAACTAACCATAAACGATAAAGTACACATATTTAAACAAAAAGGGAAATTATTTACAACTGAAGGCAAATTGTGGTATATTAAACTTTGGCAACAATGTCTATGGTAAAAGCATCATTTATATGTATAGAAACTATTTTGATTTCCGAATTATATTGTCAATTTTACTTTGGTGTATTAACGTTTTAGGGTAGTAAACTTTTTCAATTAACAAAAGTAACATTTATAGGCAAGTTTAAAACAGCTAGCCAACGAACAAATTTGTTTTAAGCAAGCGTGCGAATATGTGTGTGTATGTGAATACGACTTGGAAGAGTCCACTTTATTTTAGGGACAAAAGCTTGTTGCGCTACTTACATCAGCTGTTGTAGGCTTTGCTGTTGCTGCTGTTTCAGCCACGTTGCTTTAAACCGACTGTATATTACAAAAATCTGCTACGCGTTTGCTTCTTTTTTTCGTTTATTTTTCTGTTCTGCTTATGGTAACCAATTACTTCTTTTATCCTCACTAAAATTTACCAAGTAAAAGTAACGTATGCACGCCTGACTTTTACGAAAAATAAATTAAAATCGATAATTTTTCTAACGTATTGGAGTCGCGTTTTAAGATAGTGGTGATAGTGATTGTGGGCGGTTTGGCTCCAATCACCGGCAAGCGCTGTTTACTCTATTTTACCGTTTTAATTTTGAAGCGACATTCACTTGCACAATTTGTGTGCCCTTATATTTTAGGCTACTTGATTGGATTTTGCTTGATTATTAATTTTTCTTTTAAACTTGGCTTTTGCTTGATTGAAGCGTTAGCTGGGCGTATACCTGCAAGAGATTTAATACACACACTTATATATAGTATATGTACATATATAATATAGTTAATAATCGGTATAAACATCTAGGTAGTGATTTTTATACTTGGCAGTAGCATTGAAATTTTTGGATAATCGATATGTGCATTTGTATGAGAAGTAAACATCTTGAAGCAACCACAAATTGTGTAAAGTTAAAAATACTTGTGTGCGAGTTACTGTACAGTTCAATGCTGCAACCAAGACACGGTGCAAGCCAATGAAGTAAGCTGTTTATAGTTTTTTCGGTACTTCCATCGAATAATGCATTAGTATTAATGTGAAATTATATTGACTAATTTTGTTCGTAATGGCTTGCCAATGCCTCCACCGCTTTTTTGTTTATATAATGCTCTCATCTATATGCATATTAAGTATAGCAAAATTTTCAATAATTCTTTGCAAGTTTGTGCATATACTTACCCATTTCATATTTCCTTAATTTATTTGAGAGAATTTATCAAAACTTCAATTGTTTGTTTTTTTCTGCCCTCAATGGTGCTTCCGCGAATGGCGGTGCCCGATGCTTCCTCTTATGCCACTTTCTTTTTCTCTTTTATAGGCAACCTATGTATTTTTTACTATTGCTTTTCAGTAAATTTTTAAGCCAAGTTTTGCACTAGTTAAAAAGGCAATTATTTAACAATTTCTTAACCGTTCTTGAGTAAAAATAAACGAAAAATCAAAAGAAAATATGTGCGCTATAGTAAGTTCGCGTTTTTTCTCGGCTGACAGCAAATAAAATTCACAGTTCATGCCCGTTTAGCATAACCTCTCTTGAAACTTATATGTTTATCTCGCTCTCTCCTATGAACATACAGGAGTGAGCGATGTAAATGCAATGGGAATTGCCGCATTGACTGTGTTACAGAAGAGTGTCACTGTCACTATTGACGTTTATGCTTCTTCTTTTTTGTGTGCTGTTAGATTTGGTAAAATTTAATCCAGGATGAAGTACATAAAATTTAATATAATTATTGTTCTAATATACAAGAAAAAATATGTGAAAGATAAATTTAAATAAAAATATCGGTAATTGAAATAATTTTTGAAGTTTTGGTTTGTATGTAACGAGATTTCTGGTAAAGCAATTAGAAGGAAACATTTGTACAGTTCGACATAAAATTATATTGGCATTGCGTGCAGCAGCTGTTGAAAGCATGGTATAAGGGTTAAAAGTTTGCCTGACAGCTGTTGGAATTCGTCGGATAGTTGAATATTTGCGTGTAATTTATTTACCGCTAGTTGTGGTTATAATTTTTTTTAAGTATACAAGTGTAATACACATATATATATAACAGAAATGATGGTTTATAGTGAATATAGAATTTTTTAATGGCTAATATATGCGACAAATTTGACATAGTAAACATATATGTATGTATGTATTTATGCATGTGTACGTAGAGCATTTAATCCAAAAGGTAAGTGGTTTGCAATTTTAAGCATAAAGAAGCACATACAGCATATAAACTTTCTTGCAAATAAGAATAATTAACATAAAATTGGTACAGCAAGGTAAAGAACACAATAATCATAAAAATATACACATATTGCTGCTGGGTGACAATTGTAAAAAATCAATCTGAAACTCCAGCAAAGAACATATATACAAGTATATGTATGTATGAACGTATCTATCCGAAGTACGCATTGTTTCCGTTTCCGAGCGCGTACTATTATCTTTAATGTAGTAGCTTATGTGCAAAGCTAACAGAAACTAAATTAAATGAATATTTAATATACATATTAAACTATTTTTAGTAAAAATGTGTTTCTGTGTGTTATCACAGAAAACTATTGTATACAACTAATGACCTTCCTATATATTTTACCAGTCTATAACTGATAATATTTACATTACTGTGCAAAATAATTGCAACAAACGTTTCTTAAATAAAAAGCATAACAAATTCCAGAGTTAGTACACACAAAATATAATATATATACATAATTCTTATACTAAATTATAGTGCATAGAAGTGACAATAAGTAACATTCGAATTCCTTAAAGTCTATAAATTATCTGCTTTTAGTAGAAACCTGTAAAAAAGTTTGTATTATGATAAAAGTACTACTTGACTTACGCGCTTGGAAAATAATATTTTTCACAACATTGTTGATAGTTTAGTTAATATATTGTATTGGCAGGTGAAGGTTTTCGTGATTATCTCATAATATCGCCTTAATTTGTTGTACTTTAGGTGGATTTCGTTAATATTTGAGTAATTTTGTATACGATTCTAAATACCGCATTCTTTAGCTGGTTTTTCGTGCATTCCACGTACATAAATGCTTGTCTGTGTATGTATAAGTGTTTAACTATGTAATATATGTAAATTAAATCACGTATTGATTTGAAATTCAACAGCAAATTTGATGTGACCACTCGACATGTTTTTTAATGCTTCCATTTTAATTATATTTGCTTTCAACAAAAAACCAGTTTATGAATACACCGCTCTTACAGCGACACATTTGCGCAAGAAAGCACGCAATAAACAAAGTAATTTCTCGTACTTGTTGGTGTTTACATCATTTCGGTTTTCGTTGTCAATATTGGCAGCTTCCATCAACAACAATTGCAAAAACTATTGTATAAGGTTATTGACTTTATTTCGTAGTTAAATGAGACACATAGAAATTAGAAATGCAATTATTTATATATAGAGTGGTGCTGAATTGATTTTTGAGTGCTAGTTAATTCCAAGCATGTGCGCGATGGTGAACAAAATATCCATATGTGGCCAACAAAAAACTGTAAGGTCTGTAAAAAACTCATTAAAGTTCAATTAAGTGTGTGACATTTGGTTTCTATGATAACTTTTAACAATATCCCACAATTGTCTAAATTTCTGCAAGAACAATTTGAAAATATAGTGATACCGATATGAAGTGAGCGTTAAGATACAAATGTGTTGGTAGGGAAAATTTGTTGTGAACGAGCCTTAATTTTTTTTCTATTTGGTTGCCAATACATCTGTCAAACATATTCAATAACTTTACAGTCTTTGAACATCATATTTTTTAATTGTGTTGAAAACGTCAAGTGAAAATATCATTTAGTGATATTTGTTTTATTTATGTAGTAGCTTCAAAGCACTTAGACTGGGACTGGGACTGGGCCAGTTTCGGCTCAATAATCCGGCCTGTGTGTTTTGGCGTTTTCAAGGTAGTTGATGTAAATGCAATCTTGAGAATCTCAGAAAACGGTCGCCACCACCTTTCCGGCAGAATAGCTTTCTTCGGAGCAGGTTCGTAGACTATGGTCGACCCTCAATAGCCATTACAATATCGCAGAACGTTTTTCTGACGTGAAGAAGTTCTTCATAAAAAATGTAGCATACTTCAAATGTAGACTCAGTATCCAAACGTACAGTTATCTCAGTTTGAGTGTAAACTTTGGAGAAACCCGCTTCTTAGTGTTAGCGCCATGTTATTGTATTTGTTTGTTTTTATCGTGGCTGAGTAATATCAACTGAGAACTTTGATAAGCTCTAATTTTTTTTCAACATACAGTTTATATCTTACAAAAAATTCTTAACCAGCGATGAGTTTTGTATGAGCTTCTTTGTCATTTACGATAATTTATAATATTTTGCGGTACGTGAATGCTTCGTACATATAGAGATTACACATTTGCCAATTGGTTGAATTTTTCTGCGGAATTCAAAGTTCATTGTTGAGTGCATAGAACTTCATAAAAACGCATATTATCGGGGCTGCTTAGCACGTTTTATATTTGCCGATAAATCGTTTTATGCCTGAGGCTGTTCCCAATTAGATAGCGAAAGCAGATATACAGTTATATTTGTTACCTTTATAATGTCAACGGTTTTCACTCCTCGCTTCCTCAAGGTGTTCAAAGCCATTCTAAAACCGAAATGGTCGGTATGGAACCTAAACTCGCTCCGCGTCCAACGGAAGGCTGATGTTTCCTTTTGCCCTAAAAAATATTCTGTCGATTACTATCAACCAAACTCCAGATGACTGAGCTTGGCTTTTGTTTTTTGGGTAAAATGACGTTGGATGGTTCAACTTCTTTCGTATGGCTTTCCGTTTGGTGAACTCAAACATGAATGGAACCATTTATACTTTTTTTTGAAGTATTGGATTCTGCTCCCGACGAAGTAGGCACTCGTAAGCAGTTACCACTGAAGATACTTTATAGATATCAAAAAAACTTGTTGTTGTTCTAGCTGAGTTGAGAGTTCTTGGCCAGATAAAAATCCGGGTCCCTTCCGGTTACGTAGACCCGATTGTCGTGGGAACGGCTTTTTTGGACAGATCGTTCATGAATATTTGTGAATGTGAAAGCTTTGTGCAGTGTAATTACCGTGCAAGCTCATAATAAATCAAAGACAGTATATAGACCCGATTCTCAGAAACATTATTCTGTTCGCAGATTGCTGTGAAGTTGACGTAAATGTAGATCAAGAAAGTAAGCAGAGATTCTTAGATAGTTCAGCCAAAGGCTATCAAAATAAACTTAAAGTTCGCCCAATCAGAACACCTATTTTTTCAAATCTTCCTATCCTAATAGACTTTTATGCGTCAATAATATATTTTCGAACTGAAAGCGTCTTTTACTTTGTATAATAATAATTGTATTATTATTTTTCATATAATAAATAAATAAATATATTTTGAGTGCGACTATATTATAACTTCTAGATTGTTAGCTCCATCTTGTGATCGAAAAAAAATTATTTCTTATCTAGTTTCATTTTTAGATTGAAACAACAATTTCCCTTGATTATTTTGTTTCCTAATTTTATTTTTTCAAGCGAAAAAAGCCCCGTTGTATTCAAGCGTCTGACTTGGTTTCAAAAGCATTTTATACACTTTTGTCCTTGAATTACTTTGCATTTCTCTTTAACAACAAATAAACAAATGATGTAATATCTCGAGTATTTGCTTATTTTGTTTTTGCTTAATTGAATAAGGTACTTATTATGGAGTACTATGTCATTGAAATGCATAGTATTTAGACTTAATTATGTAATAGGGAAGTGTTGAAAGTGTCGCAATGTTTTGAGTATTATTATTTTAAATTTTGCATTCTTATTATATAAGTAAATAGAACACTTCAAAGGTTACCTTATCCGTAATTGAAGTGGGGGGATACTCATCTGAATGGATCTAAAACAGTTGAAAGTTTTGTCTAAAAATGATTCTATGACTTTCAACCTGATCTTACACCGGTTTTTGATAAGCCACGCCCAGATACTACGAAAGCGACTATCACGGACGATAACGAGACAAAATCCATGAACTCTTATTGGCTGATCGTCGGTTAAAAGTTTCCCGAAACAGCTGAGAAAGTAGACATCTCAAAAGTCGGCGTGGGTTACAGCCTGAATGAAATATTGGTGATGAAAAAGCCGTGTTTGCTCACCCCGGACAACGTGGGCAACTTTCAGACCAATTCAAAGCAGTTTCAGATGCTGTTTAAAAAATTCTTTTACATACAATATTTTGAATCGTGTGTCGTAACCGCAAATGAAATATGGATTCATTGTTTTATAAGGAACAATCGATACGGTGGTCTTCCTTCGACTAAACTGCTCCGAAGCGGACAAAGCATGTCATATAAGCCGGAAAGGTGATAACTACCGGTGGAGGTAATCGCGGGTACGGAGGCCTACTTTATAAGCCAATTCTATTGAGCTCAAGTGAGGTTAGGTTAGGTCGTAGGGCCGATTTTCAAACCAAAATTAATGCAGGATCCCACTTGAACGGCCCTGAGGTCGATTTTAAGCCCAAGTTGGATCCTGCGTTACCCTTGATGCGATTTTACCCTAGTTTTTTCAAAATTTTCGTTTTTCTTATGCATCCAAGTACTTATCGAACCGCTCTCTTATCTTTATCACTTCTCTTGATCGATGGAAGTTGCAAAAAATATCTTTTACATCTTTTACACAGCTAGACAACTCAGGGGTTCGAACTTTGTTGATAATATTCTTAAAGAATTCGACTGCAAGAGAAACATTTAAATACTCCTTTTTCAATTTTATAACGCGATTTTCTGCAATTTTATGAATTCAATTACAATATCTCATTTTGTACAAACTTTTTAATAAATAAATATGTTCATTGCTTAAATATTTAATTTATATACAATGTGTGCAAAATATGACCGCACTTATTATATGAAAATTTGCACTCGTTACGGAGTATATTGACTATTTCAATTGGTTAATCAATTCCAATTCCGCTTTCAATTAGTACTCAACACTTTTGATTTTTGCAATGAGTGTTTAGTAAACAAATAAAATTATTTAAAAAAAATAGAAAATAGCAGAAAAATGAGAGGGCTACCATAAATGAGTAATTGTTTCTTCGGCCCATATATTTACGCTCATAAACCATAAACGTTTTGTTTAACGTATCACAAATGAAAACCAAATTCTTCTAGTTTCTTATGGCGGCTTCATCCTCAAAACGCGCTGATGCGTGGTACGGAGAGCACGCTCCTAAGCGCCGTAATGCAGGTCAAACCGGAGCGTGCGCTCTACATTTTTACTTCTTTCGACGTCAGCGTTCGTTCAGAACACTTAAAAATTTAGTAGACAGAACGTGACTGTTGCACAGTGAGCTAAAATAGTGTTTAGGGAAATAAATTTCAACTAAGCAAGCGATTCATATTTAGTGTTAATTTTTTTATATAGAGTCACTCTTTATCAATTTTCTGAGCGTATTTTTTAGATGGAATAACTTTTTATAAAAATTCATGAGTCTTCCTTAGTTACCACCGTGAAGACTACAAAATTCTATTATTTGTTAAATACTGTTTTCGTTAAGTTTCCTTGGTTTAGAACGCAGTGTGTCACAATTTACTCACATTTAAGACCCTATACCACCGCAATTCTACTTAAAAAGTTCTAAAGAGGTTGTTGTCGTTGTTGTTGCGCCAAAAACATAAATGAAGTAATTTGGAGGATTACTGACATGTTGACAGTCCTTAGATGCATAAAAATCCAGGTCCGTTCCGGCTACGTAGACCGAACGGTCGTTTAAATGGAGTCTAAAATCCTTAAGAGAGAGTTTTAATCCATGTCTGCGTTTGTCAATTGTCATCGCCAAGAAACGCGTAAAAAATGGATTAAGCCATTAAGTGCCATCCAACTGAAAACAAAGATTTTATAAGTCTATATTTTAAATTTCCGGTGAATAAAAATAGATTATCAGGTTCACAACAGGACATTCTGGATACATGTACATTTCGGTTTTGTAGAAACATTAAGTAGAAACCTGTCCTCGCTTTAATTATTTGCCGTTTTTATTGAATTGATGACACTTTCATAATTTCAGATATAAAATATTCTTCATTTTCTGTGACTTTCAGGTCTAAACATTTTTTCTCTTCAGTAAAAAATCGAATACTATAAATTGCTATAAAAAAATGAACCTGTGTACGTTATTGTAGCTTCGGTGCAGTCGAGGTTAACGTCTTTTCTTATTTTTTCTTGCAATAATTCTCAAACGCGCCCACTGTGCATTCATTAGCTCATACACTCTCACTGATAGTAGTGGCCGTTTGTTTGTTGACGTTGCCGCCAGAGCTGGTTGCCGGCATAGTCTGTATGCTAGTCAGAGTTCATCATCAGTTTGCATGTTTAAGACCGATCAGTTGTGAGTTACATTTAAACATAAACGCATCTTCTGAATTTCGATTTCGCGACGGAGGCTACAATTTTAACTACTAGCAACGATTTGGTTGGTGTTCATTACTATACTTATTTATGCGCAAAAAATATTATTTATTGAAAACTAGATAATTGATAAAATTTTAATTAACTTTATTAACTTTTTACGTTTTGTAAACGCGTCTGCGTGACGAAAACAATTTGAAGAAAGCTGTGCAAACTAACTGTGTGTGTTGGTTGGCTTGTTGACAATGAGAATGGAAAAGTAAATAAAAATATCAAAACTAACAAAAGCTAACAAAAGCTAACATGCCTTCACCTAAATATATAAAAGTTAACACAAATAGTACACATTAATTAAAAAACAAAAAAACAAAAACTGGTATCCACGAGAGCATTTTATAAATAAAATTTTAGAAATAAACAAATATTAATTTTTCTCATAGGAAACAAGAAAACCATTTTATAAACAAGTTTTTTTTTACAGTTGTTGTTGTTGCGCTATAATGTTATTGTATGCATGTGCCACCAGCAGAGGTGCCAGTTTTTTAGCATCTTGTAGAAGTAAACATGCGTAAACTTCCTTTGAAAACGCGCTAACTGAATTTATTGAATCGCAAATTATATGTGTGAATGTGTGCAAAACTAATTCGTTGTAGAATTAAATACACCAGAGCTGACAATCGGCAAAATTGATTGGCGTGAATTGGTGACTTTTTATATTATATTATATGTACATAGTATATATATACATATATATATATAAAAGTGTAATAAAAATAATGAATGAATATAGTATTTTGCATTTACTCGAGGGAAATAAAAAAAAAAATTTATTGAAACAAAAAAAAAAAGAACAATAAAAAAAATAACAAAAATTAAAAAAAAATAGAAAAAAATTCAAAATAAGGAAATGATGAAATGATTAGATATAAAAATTAAATAAATATTTAAAAAAGTAAAAGCAAAATTAACAACTTAAAGAAAACATTAAATAAATAAAAATATTTAAAAAAAAATTTATATATTTAAATAAATAAAAAAATTAAATATCTATTTAAATAAAAAAAATATATATATATATATATATTTAAGTAAAAAAACAATAATAAATATTATATATATATATTTCAGTAAATAAAAAAATATTATATTAAAAAAAAAACAAGAAAAAACGTTGCACTCAAGTTATACTACCCTTCACAAATAAAAAAATTGATTTTTATCGGTCAATTTGTATGTTGGCTATATGCTATAGTGTTTCTATCTGAGCAATTTGTTCGGATATAGCAGCGTTGCTTTGGACAGTAGATCATGCGAAATGCCGTGATATATTGCCAAATAAACAAGTTTCCATATAAATACTTGATTTTGATCTATCAAAAGTTTGTATGAAAGCTAAATACTATAGTGGTGCGATATCGGCAGTTCCGACAAATAAACAGCTTCTTCTCGTGAAAATTTCAAACGATAAGGACTTTGTATAGCAGTACAATTGTGATACCAATGCTCGAGTTAGCCATAAGACCAAGACCCAATTTTATGCCTTTTTATACATAGTAATGTTAATGTTGAATTTCATTTTCTATATCTTTCACTTTCTTTTGGGAGACGAGCTCCAAAAAGTTTCATTTCAATGCCGATAAAACGCAAGGGAAATTAAAAACCGTATATCTACACAACAACCGATGCCAGATATGTATCGTATCTGAATGATGGCTAGACAGTATTGGCACAATTAATTAACTTCCAAAATTAATTAAAATAAGTGCGAAATCTGTTTGCGCTATCAATGGTAACTGGGGTAAACATGTGATATCGCAATGCGATTAGAAATTGTTTATTATTATGAAAGCTTAAATATGATGCGAAAATATTTCTAACGCTTTTACAGATTAAACGGCTTAAGCTAGTTGTAAGTGTTTGGAAACCTCAATTCATTACAATTTTTTCCTTGAAAACCGTTATCAAAAGGGGTGACATTAACTTGATACTTAGATCGTCAGATTTGACTCCCTAAGAAATCTATTTCTCTTGATTTTTTAAAAGCCAGGTATGTCAGCAGTTCTCAAACCATTCGAAAAAAGATTCCCTAATCCACACATCAAGTCAAAGAAATATATTTACTATTCGCCGGTATTTTTAAGTTCCATTTTTATCTGCTGCGACTTTTCTTCTCTATCCTTTCCTACTTGTATTGCTTATACCATATCTTTCAGGTATTTATCCATCGAAAACCTAGTAATAAAGTGTTAATGAACTTATGTAGACTGGGTATTTAAAGTTCCGTTTTTAATACTTAGTATGTAGAATGAAATATTAAAAGCAAACGAACTGTTGCTTTTTGCTGAACACAAAAAAGCTCAACAATTCAAATTTCCAAACAATTCATTTATAAAATTGTTTAAGCCAAATATGAACCCAGCAGTCAGATCAACTTGTTACAAGCTACTTTTCAGCTAGTATGAGTCACAAGCCAAACTAGTCAGCCACCTGTAATTTTTCCATACAAGCAACCGACAGTTGTACGCGTTGACGTGCTACGAGCTGTCAATTGTTAGATTTCGGTGAGCAATATTTCAGCTTCATAACTTTGCTTTTTTCTGAACAAACTTTCCTAAAAATTGGTATAAATCTGTTAGTTCTGACATTAAATTAGTCTTATCGCAAGCTACACATACTTTAAGACACTGCTACTAAAATGCTAAATACAGAAATATGCGAAAATGTTTCATTAGCTCAGCACTTAAAAAGCATTAGGTCATATTTCTGATTAATACGGTAAAACTATAAAAATAAAGCAAACATTCGCTGTTTTCTTTTTTGTTTATTATTGACTTTTTCAATCTCAGTTGTGGTCAACACATTATCGGAATTATGAAGAGTGTATTAATTGCTAAAATAAAACGCCATATTGGTTAATCTGCTGACTAATATAATGGGTGTTTTTTTAGACATGTAGTTTTCAAGAAGAAATAAAACGCATTTCATTAAATGTATGGCCAAGAATTAGCTTTATTATAAAGATTAAGGTTTGCCATTATTTTTTAAAAATGATTTCAGAAAAATAACTGCCGCGGCTGACTCGAGTATATTCCAGGGGAGAGGACAATTTTCGACCACTTTTTGCGGCAACCGGGGCCGTATGTCAGCGATATTTTCTTCCACGGCGTCAATCGTCTCGGGGTTATTTGCGGTTAAATTTATTTTTAGTAGGCTTGTAAGCAAGCAGAGCAAGACCCTTCCACTAAATCTTCCAAAAAGTAGATGGGCAAAGCTTCAATTGTGGCGTGCGATGACGGATGGACCCATTTGGGTCTTCTTCCATATTCTGCCTCACAGCCGCAATAGCGTGATACGAAACCAACTCAGTTTTAGAAAAAGAATCAAAGCGGCCAGAAATAGAAAGAAACAGTTTAAACAAAGCTTTCAACTTTACAGTTAGATGGGTTTGTAACCATGAGCCATCTGGATTTGTAACCGATCATTTACTGCCATGCTACCCAAAACATATAATCACATAAGATGGGGCGATGCTTGGAGTATTTGAGGAAAAATTTTGAATAAAATCCCTATAGTATTATAGCCGAATAAACTTTATCAGGGCATTGACTCGTTTGTGTCACAGGAGAATATGACGAGCTCATCAGTCATGACAAGTCCAAGTAACATATGGACAACATTATCCATATACATTAACTGATATATAACTACATCTTTAACTTTGGACTAGAATTATAACAATTCAAATTGTACACTTTGCGAACTAAATTGCCATTCAATTATGCCACAATAGAGATGCTCATCTATTATTACATAATACAATAATTATAGTTTTCAAAAGATTCATTCTGACTAAAGAGAAAATAATTGCCGCTATGTGTAATAACTAAATGAAATCATCAAGCATGCGAACATGAACTTTAACGGAACACAGCTAGACAGTTGCTTGGCCGAGTCTTTAAGCGATTTTGGGGGTTACAAGGTTTTAAATATTTTAAAACTGTCAGATTAAGTGAAGAACATTTTTTAGAAGTTTTTTGATATAAGGCTTTGTAATTTATCGCACAACTTTTTTATAATTATTATACTTATGGAATTCGAACCTACGCACCACTGCGCGGTAGCCGTGTGCTTACACCATTTTGCTACGACGAGAAAGCAGTCACAATTCCAATTATTATCACAGTCGAAAAAAAACGATTATATACTTTTGAACTGTATACAATTCATATATTAGGCTTACAATGTTTAAACATATAAATAATGTGAGGTTATGTTATGTGTAAATTTTTTAAATTGTCATATAAAAACTGCATTTAAACTTTCATTGCAATCAAAAATGATTAAAGAATAATTTTTATTCCAGTTTTATTGAGTCATGAAAGCAGTCGACGTCGCTCACCGGCTACTGCCTGGTATTAAATGGTTACACGGTTATTCGGCACCAGATGCTATAGCCGATCTGATTGCGGGCATTACTGTAGGCTTAACAGTATTGCCACAGGGTCTTGCTTATGCGACATTGGCGGGACTTGAACCACAAGTGAGTACTTTAAAGTTTCTAACCTCATATTCTTTTCTTTTTTTTTTCTATATACTGGCGTTCTAGTAATAATGTCCTTCTTAACTCCAGTATGGTCTCTACTCCGCATTCGTTGGTGGCATCGTGTATGCCTTATTGGGCAGCTGTCGTCAAGTTACCATCGGTCCAACAGCGCTATTGGCGCTCATGACTAGCCGTCACACAGGTTTCGGCTTGAACTCTGGTCCAACCTACGCGATATTATTATGTTTGATCTCCGGACTTGTGGAGTTTCTGATGGCTGTGCTGCGCTTAGGTGAGTCTGGTTTAAATATAAAATTGTTGTATTAAAATATTCATTTGTGAAAATCGTAGGTGCGCTTGTGGACCTAATTTCACTGCCAGTAACTGTGGGTTTCACCTCAGCGACGGCGGTCATCATCGGCACTTCGCAGTTGAAAGTAAATACTTCTTGTTTTTAGCGTTGTGGTGTGTTTTTTAAGTAAATATTTCGTGTATAGGGTCTGCTTGGTATCCGTGGCGGCGGCGGCGGTTCCGGTTTTATGAAAACTATGGAATCGGTTTTTACGAATTTAGACAAAATACGTTATGGTGATTTTACTTTGGGAATTGTTACTATCACCATTTTGCTTTTGCTGCGGGTAAGTGTTTACAATTTGCCAAATTAAGTATTTTGATTACATAATTATTATCTCTAAAACTATATAACGTATACACTTGAGGTAAATAACTTACTTGTGTATGAAGTGCATTAGTAAGGCTTGAAGATAAGGATTAAAAAAGGTGTGATAATATTAAAAAAAAATTTTTCGACTGACTTTTTTAGAGCACTCGGTATTTCCCAAGCCTTTCTGGCAAAATCTGTTAGTATTGCTGTTAATATATAGGATTTAGACGATTAAAGTTAGGTTTAGGATACGAGCTCTTTCAACGGAGTTTGGCTAAAGAGATAGAATTTAGAATCAATTTTATTAGTGCTAAAAGCTTTCCCGACATTAACTTTTCCTGTCATTCCTTTTTATAGAAACTAAAGGATGTCAAAATACCCGGTCGTCGCATCTTGAGCGGCACACTTTGGGTCATTGCAACCGGCCGCAATGCGCTCGTTGTGCTCATCGCCAGTATCTTAGCTTACAATACATGTGATACACAGGAGTCGTGTCCGTTCGCGTTGACGGGTAAAGTGAAAAGCGGTTTTCCAGATATCGAATTTCCAAAATTCCATACAACAATACAGGCACCGAATGGCACTGCAATTGAACAGAACTATAAGGATATGGTAAGTCTAGCAGCCATTATACAAAGTTCCTCCAGAACAGTTTTATTTCGCTTTCAGTTGAAGGAGCTTGGTCCCTCCATGATTATACTGCCAGTAATTGCCGTGCTGGGCAACGTCGCCATCTCGAAGGCATTCAGCAGTGCAGGTATAAGTCCAACACGCGAATTGGTGGCGCTCTCACTCAGCAATGTGATCGGTTCGTTCTTCTCTTCAATGCCCGTGACTGGTTCCTTTTCGCGCAGCGCTGTGAACCATGCGAGTGGTGTGCGTACACCCATTGGCGGTTTTTATACTAGCGCTTTGGTATTGCTGGCGCTCGGTTTGCTCGCGCCCTATTTTCAGTACATACCAAAGGCGGCGCTGAGCGCAGTCATCATATCGGCGGTAATATTTATGATTGAATTTGAGGTAGGTGGAGCAGCTGTGATAATAAAATTGGAAGTGAAAGTAAGATTTTATAAATGCCTTTATTTGTTTTAAGGTCGTCAAACCACTTTGGCGCTGCAGTCGTCGCGAATTACTGCCTGGCGCTATAACATTCGTTGTCAGTCTCGCTATCGGCGTAGAGCTCGGTTTGCTGTTGGGCGTGGGTGTAGATGTGGCGTACCTGGTGTACCGTGCCGCACGTCCGGCGCTCAGCGTCTCCAAATTGAGGGTACATTTAATTGATCCTGCACTTTTTATATGCTGAACAGGGTATACGAGTATACGATGTTTGTTTGAGTTGAGTTGATTTAGCCAAGTCTGTTTGTTTGTATATATGCAAACTAGTCTTTTAGTTTTCGAGATATCGATATGAATTTTTATACACGGTCTTCTCTCTCCAAGAAACTACGTATTTGTCGGAATCGCCGATATCGGATCACTATAACTTATAGCTGCCATACAAACTGAACGATCTAACTCAAGTCTTTGTATGGAAAACTTTTTTATTCGACAAGATATCTTTACGAAATTTGGCATGGATTTTTGTCAAAGTCATTCCTAAAATCTCCGAATTTATTATTCAGATCGGAATACTATAGTACATATCTGACTTTCAAACTAACCGATCAAAATCAAGATAAAGACCTTTTTATATCTTTTTATGATATAAAAGTGCACCTGTGAAGGCTATTATAGCTTCGGTTCAGCCGAAGTAAACGTTTTTTCTTGTTTTTAGAGAAAACGGTAATTTGTATATTTTTTATTCATGTCATTTAGACCACCAATGGCACAGAGTACATACTTATGCGCCCTATACACAGTTCACTCTACTTCCCGGCAATTGAATGGGTGCGCACTGGCATATCGAAGGCTGTAGTCATGCACGGTACTGCGCCTGTGGTCCTGGATTGCTCCAATATGCATGGTATATAATAAAATTAAAACAGAAATATTGTTTATTATATTTTTTTTTTCTTTTTTTTTCATTTCCACTGCAGAACTCGATTTTACAGCAGCACGTGGCATGGGCGCTTTGAATAAAGAGTTAGCTAGCAAATTTGTGCCATTCTTTTTGTTAAAGGCGTCTAAAGAGATCTGTATTATACTAAAAGAATCGACAAATTGCGATTTTTCAACTATAGAAACTACAGATGATTTGGAATATATACTAGAAAATAGTAAGTAAAAAATATTTTTCAATTATAATTGTGTGAACTAACAGTAAATTGCTTATATTTACATAACGTTAATAAAACCTAACTGTTAACGCAAATTAATCATGTACCTGTGTCTGTGTTTATTTCTTAATCTACCCTCAGCGGCATCGATCGACGATCATCGCTTGCAAGTTACCATTCCGCTAATTTCAGCACAAACTAAAGTAAATTGTGGTGATTCCACGGCGATTGATGGCGGTGGCGCTGGCGGACATGTGTAGATTTATAAACAACATGTAGATTTTTTAAAAATTTAGATTTTTTAATGCAATGAAGCTGAATTTATCTAATATTTTGAGAAATGTTTCTGATTGGTTTCTTTGCAATGTTTGGCTAATGCTGTTCTAAGTATTTTTACATTCATGTACATTTGTGTTTTGTACAAAAATGTAGTTGTTCTTAGCAATATTAATATAACTGTATCTTTTTAAGAAGCTAAATTTTCTGAAGTTGAAAAAAGTTTGTAAAGTCTACTTATCACTTTATACGGTTAATAGTGGAAATTACGTGGCGGCTCAATTGAAAATGGATTTGTAGAAATTTAGAAGAGCAAGTATTGCTTACAATATTTATTTGAAAATCAATTTCAATGAAAATTTATAATTTAAGTATTTATGTATATAAATTTATTTTATTTTTTGTTACAATTTTTTTTCAATTTTACAATTTTATGCGAATCCATTTTCTATTGTATTGACAAAATATCGTAATTTTATATTTACCGTTGAAAAACTTTGTACACGTTTTCATATGGTTTTTGTTCTGTTTTTTACACATTTCATCTTTATAGTTAGGTTAAGTTTTAAGCACAAATTGGTTAATGTAATAAATAAATATTTATCATTTTAAAGCAAGTTAAGTCTTGTTTTTTACTGAAAAATATGGCTTTATACTATTTTCAATTTTTCTTCCTAAAAGCCCTATTAAAAAATAATTACTAAATAATATTATCTGACAGTGCTTTATTATTATTATATTTGTTTCAGTTTTTGTAAAAACATTTCTTCAAGTTTTTATGGCATATGCAGACACATTTTAATGTAATTTTGTTTGTAAAATTTCAAAAAAGATTTGGATAATGTTTTCATTTTTGTTTACCTAGCAGAGAAAATATTTTGACAATTTTTAAAATCTTAAGACATTTTGCCATCCTTACATTGTGGAAAGCAAAAAAAAAATATATATGTATATTTTCTAAGACTTTTTAATTATTTTAACCACTTTTCTTTAAAATTTTTAATTTTTTTGTTTTATAATATAAATGTTAAATATTGTTTAGGTCTGAAGATAAACGGTCTTTCTCTGACTTACAACAAGCATTTGCGTCGGCGGGAAATTTATTATGAAATGCAAAGACGTTAGAATCCAGTATGAGACCTGAAAATACGACCAGAAAATAGTCAAGTTTAAACCGTTACACTAAAAATTAATTTAGCGATCAGCTGTTAGGCTTATTCTGAGCACCGTTATATAAACAAATGTCATTAATGGCCAGGCTAACTAATTATGTGTGTGGTGAAGGTGAAAATTGATAACAAATTTTATTAATTAATTATAATGTATGAATGATTTTATTGAGCGTGCTTAATCTTAAAAGAAAATATTTTTAGAATAATTAATTAAAAAGTTACATTAATAAATATTAATTAATTGTAATGTATTTTTTTATATATATAAATATTTTTTACTAATAAAATTTACTAATAAAAATTATTTTACCAATAAAATTTTAGTAAAAATAGTTAAAGTTTTGATGCTCTTTGGTAACTAAAATCTGAAATGAAAAAAATTCTACAAAAATTGGCTCATATAATGCCTTCAACACAATTTTTCTAACCAAATTTCAAATCTTAAAATTTTAATTTACTCTCTTAATAACCAAACGAAATAAAATCTTTTGTGTAAAAAAGAAATAAAATTTATAAAAATTAAAGGCTTAGCGATAAAATTTTTTTCATTCCTTTGCGAATAACTTTTTAAAAAAATATTCTTAATTTTCGTTCAATAATTTTAAATATAACAGCTAAGTTTTTTTGAAAAATTCTACTACGGAAATTTTGTATATATATTTTTTGACAGATATTCATTTACGAATAGCTTTATAAAAATATGAAAATATTTCCTTAATTTTCCTTTAATAATTTCAATCATATTTGCAAAATTTTTATAATTTTTATTTAAAAATTTTAAATTAAACTTGATTCAATGCCACATGGCAGCATCATGCAATTGTCAATATACACGGGCAATAAAACTGCCGCGCACATTTTGAGCGCCACTGTTGCAGCCACACAGCAAACGACAACAAGGTTTGTTTTCAGAGCCGCCTACTATCGTTTATGTTCGCCTGGTACTCGGCGTTGTCTGTTAAAATCAGATTTTTAGGAAGTACCCAGTACCAAGTATGCATGCTAGGCATGCGACGCATATTGGAGTTGATTTCTTCATGGAAATTGAATGGAATTGATGCGAACTTGAATAAAATTAATAAAAAAAACATTTTTCAAAAGTAAAAAGGAAAAAAAATTAAAAATGTAAAAAAAAATTTCAAATTAAAAAACAAAATCAATTATTAAATTTTAAAAAATCGCGACATTTTTCCTGAAATATTATTAATAACTTATTTTAAATAATTTATTTTTTTTTGGGAAAATATTTGCGAAAATATGAGTGAGTATATTTTCAATTATTTTTTTTTGTAACAAAAAAGAGCGTTTATTTGTTTATATGTTTTTCAAACGTGAATCATGCTTATTTGTTTCACTAAAATATTACTTTTTTATAGACTATGCCTACACACGTTTTCTATGATGAACTCTAAACGGTTTTGAAGATAATAAAGAGACTCTCATTTATATGGAAACTTCGAAAATATTTTATTAGAATATTTTTAAAGATTTTAATGACTGCAAGACTGCAAAATATTTTTTAAATAAACTGAATGATAAAAAAATATTTTAAATATATGTTTTTAAATAAAACACACACATATGTATTTAGTTTTTTCTTCGTTTGTTCAATTTCACAATTTTAATTCATTTTTAAAATGCCTATAATAAAATACAATTAAATGAATTTTTACATGCAGATGAAACATTAATTTTTTATAAATTTTATTTTTTTAAGAATTGCTAAAGTAAGTATTATAATTAAATCATTATCATTTATGTAATATATAATTTTATAAGAAAATATAAGCAAAGAAGATAAATTATAAAACAATAAGGCATATAGAGTTGCAAGGCAGGCTAAAATAATGTTTTTTACTTAAAGAAATACAAAAATAATTTTTTTTTGTTTAATTTGCATAAACATTAAATAAAATACAATACAAAAGAAGGTGAAAATACAATTTTCTTTTAAACTGAAAATCGAAAAGCATAAACACAAATAAATATAGGACATTTAAAATGTAAACATATTATTCTATAAGTAGATTTGTATATACTTGTATGCAGGCAGCTACGGCAAATTATAAAATTAAAACAAATTTACTTAAAATTATTATTTAAATATATATAAAAAAAGGCTGGCTGCGCCAAATCTTTAGCTCCATTTTAAAGAAATGCAGTACACTAAATAAAAAATATAAAAATAAAATAAAAATAAAATTATAAAAATATTTATAAAATAATTATAATTTTAATAAAATCATTTAAGGCAAATTAAAGCGCGTAAATATAATAATAACTAATTTTTTAAATGTTCACTTAAGCTTGTAAATATTGTGTGTTGTAAAAAGAAGCTACAGATCTGAGCTCTCATTCTGCGTTGGCAAGCCCATAGCGCCGAAGTCCGCGCAACTGAGCGCATACTCCTCATAAGCATTTGCGCTGCCGCGCGCTGTTGCAGCACCAGCAATAGCAGCGTCACTGTTAGTGTGCGCCAATAGTTCTGCTTGTATGCGCTTGAGCACTTCGACCACTTCGGCTGAGACGCCGCTTTGTAATGCCTTCTGCATGGCCTCGTTGGCGTCGACGAGTGCTTCAGGGTAATCGCCGCTTTCCATGCGTGATTTGGAGCGCGCGTAGTAGCCTTCATAGCTGGCAGGTTTCTGAGCGATAGCCTGTGTGGCTAAATCGATGGATTCGTCAAGTTCCTGCAGAAGAAATGTTACGGTTATTTATCGTTAGGTTGAATGAAATTAATAAGTTTGTACTCACATTTAACTTTCGCTTGCAGCGCGACAGATTCAGCAACAAGTTGGTGCGCAATTGTGCAAATATTGCGCTTCGCTCTAGCAAATTCTCCAGACATGAGATCTTACGCAACGCGTACTGATAACGATGCGCCGCATCGTGAAAGCGATTCTTACGATACAAAACATTGCCATCTTCGAGTAATTTATTCAGCAGCACTATCAAAATCTCTGGTTTGCCCATAGCCATACTCCAGGTAGTGGGGCCTAACTTAGCGCCGCGACGTAAAAATACTTGTACAACCTGTATATTGCGGCAAGCAATTGCGCGGTCGAGTGGACGCATGCCATTCACATCGATATGCTCGATATTTGCGCCCTGTTCAAGCAGATAGAGCACCAAAGCGGCAGAGCCTTGATATGCCGCCAAATCGAGCGGTGTGCGCCCTTTGTTGTCGGCGTGATTGCGATTGCAGCCGCGTTCGATTAGACATTTAGCGGCCGGTTGGCGTCCACGTAAACTTGCCCACGAGAGCGCAGTAAAGCCTTCCTCATCTTGTGCTTCCAGCGCGGCGCCACGTTCAATCAGCAACTCCAACAGCTCAATATGACCTTCCTCCGCGGCTATCATAAGCGGTGTCTTGCGCGCTATGGTTACTGGCTCATCTATATCAGCGCCATTTTGTATCAACTTCTCCACCACTGCCCAATGCCCTTCCTTTACCGCTAACCAGAGCGCGGTAAAATCCTGTTTGTTACGCGCATCAATACGCGCGCCCTTCGGCAGTAAGATGGCGACTGTATCGCTGCAACCATTACGTGCCGCTGCGGTTAGCGGTAATTCACCACATGCCTCATCCATGAGATTCACATCTATGCCGTCGATTTCCAGCAAATCCTCAACGATTGTGACGTGATCTTGTGCTGCCGCAGCGATAAGTGATTGCTGTAGCGCCACTGCCAAACTGACATCCTGTGAGTTGGGACGCGGCGTCCAGTCACAGGCTAGCAAATATTTCACCACATTAAGGCGACCAGTGCGCGCGGCATGTACTAACGCGCAGCGCTGTGTTGTATCTGTTTGCCCTAAACTGCTGCCGGCGGCCACCAACAAGCGTACTACATCAGCGTGACCACGTATTGCGGCCAATATGAGTGGTGTGCAGCCTTGACTGTTAGTTAGACTCACGTCAGCGCCGAATTCCAGCAGTAAGTTCACCATGGGCATTATGCCCTCATGCGCTGCAATGCAGAGTATTGTTGCGCCGCCCATAAATTCTGTATGGTAGTGTGGTGAAGCGCCGGCTAGTAAAATCAAGCGCGACACCTTTAAGTTCGGACTGTAGACGTTGCGCAAAGAACCGAGCGCGGCCGATATGTTATCGGTGACGGTGGCGACCCAGAATGATTGCATATCGCGCGGCAGTTGTGGACCCAGACAGTTGCGGTAAATGTGCGCCTTTAGCATGTGGTGACCTAGCTCCATGGTTTGCTCGGGATCAAGTGGCGCTTGCATACGTGATAGCCGAAATGCAATAGCTGCATGTCCGAGCCGAAAATCGCAAAGAAATTTCAAGGATTCACCTTCGTCACGTCGGATTAACCATTCGCGGAAGTACGAGTGGAAAAACATGTACGTGTTGTCAATGCGACGTATGAGAAAGCCATCGAGCAATTTGAAGCGTTGCAAGAACTCATCCCAGCTAAGCACCTCGTCGGTCTTCATTGCACAAATGGTGTAGTAAATTTCATTCAAGGTAAGTGGATACAAAGCAGCCAAGCACACATTCAGTATGGGCGCGGCTTTCTCGAAACTGCTGTTGGTAGGGAAACGCAAATTGAAGTGTAGCAAAAATATTTGCGCTAAACTCACAGGCAGCACTTTGTAACTGGTCGACTTGATCACCAACTGACCGCGCTCAATGAGATCGAGTATCAGCTTGGCGTATAACATCGAACCCTTTGTCAGCGTTTGCAAGTGTCCGATAAACTTTAGCTGTCCACTGTTGTGATCCTTCACTGCGGCAATATTATTCTGTATTTCCACGCTGTGATTCACACGGAATGTTATATAGTCGAGCATATCCTTCTGTAGCAGATCGTTTGAGGCCCAACTATCGAGCGTCATTTTCGTATACGACAGGCCCTTAACAAACTCCAGCATTTGCGTGCGTACGGTAGCGACTACTTTCAGCCACGAGGGAAAGTGCTGCGTCATCTTGGCAAGAAAAGTGGCGATCGTGTGTCCGTGATCGGGACGATGATACTCCGCCTCGCACAAAGCATCAACGAGTATGACGCAAGTCTTGGTCGGTATCTTACCGGCACGTTTTAGCACAATCAGCGGCTCTAGAATAGCCATGCGCATAACGCGCTCTGCATCGGCAATACATTCCTTAACGCTCAATATATCCTGTAAATGTGGCTCGCTCAGCAGATACTCACGATATGCCTCGAGTTGCGGCGCCTGACATAGCTGCGCGGCCAGTGAGTGCACAAAGTCGGGCACCAGACAAGTGAGGTTCGAATCGGCCTGACAGAAGTGGTAGCCGACAATGTGTGAGGCTAACGCGCGTAAACGATCGTGACCGAGATTGATGGGGCAGTAAATGCCATCCGGATCGCTGGTGCTATTGCTGTTCTTACGTCGGCCGAAACACGAATACTCAACTAACTGCAAGATGAGCGCCGTCTTGCCTGTACCAGGATTACCGTTGATCAGCACACCCGGTGTTTCGGTACCGGTAAGTATATTGGAGAGCTCACGCAACAGCCACTGACGTCCGATAAATGGTGGATCTGGTTCGGGTAGTGGTACTTCAAAAAAGAGCGGTTTCAAAGCCAGCTGCACTGGTTGCACGGTGGCCGGTTTGTAGACGGCATTGCGCTTGTTGGCGCCGCCAGCCAATTGGCCAGCGCGTGCTGAACGTCGCACGCCTGTTTTGCGCGCCTTCACTGGAAATACATCACTGTTATCGGTGGACAACGACAGCGCGTTCAGCTTGCCAGCCAAACTGAGCGTATCATCCTTGGTAATCACGGAGAGTTGTGAGCCAAAAGCGTTGGCACATCCAGCCGATAGCGTCTGTTCGGGACTGACATTCTGCGATGAGCTGCTGCTGGTTGTCGTGTTCGTATTGCCATGCTGATCGCTGTCCAGCAGCAGACCGAGACGGGCACGCAATTGATCTTTCTGCTTCTCGGCGGCGGTTAGCGCATGATCATCGTTGCCTGTGTGCGGAAGAAAAGAAGTAAAGCAAAAAGACTTGTTAAATAACAGCGGAATAACAATCGCTGACATAACGAAACATGCAAAAACTAGTGGAAGTATATGAAAACGTGTAAGAACTATATGAAACATGCTTATGAAATAGACATGCACATTTGAACTTTGCTAGAATAGCTCTGCTCGTGGCACAACATGCAAATATATGCAATGCAAACAAAAACAAAACCAACAACAATAATGTTATATGCGTTGAAATTGCTCGTGCCTGCAAATTGATTAAGTCCCGCGTCCGACGAAGTTGAATTGACGCTCCATAACGATTTGATTTTACCAAAGACCAACGATGAAAGATGTCCCGCATAGACCGAGGTACCGGCGAGGCTTAAGCGATTTAGTCGATTCTCACTGCCGGCCGCTGTTGGCCTTGTAGAAGCAGCGCTCACATTGTTACTGACCTTTTGACGGCGGCGTCGCGTAACTGCCGAATCGGAGCAGGTCGATGTATTTAGTGCATTATTGTCTTTGCCTGTAAAATGTTTGTAATGAGGATGACTGATGTGAGAATGTTATATGTAGTGTATTTTTGCTAAATTATGTGTGTGTGTTGTTAGTGAAAATCAGAAACGGAAATGATATATATGTATACAAATACTAAAACTAATTTTGTGCTAACTGAATGTTAGTCAAGTTAGATACTGTACGTAAAGTCAAAGTCGTTCTGTAGTACTTCCCAAACGTCTACAGTTTCAAGGGAACTGGATATATCGACCAGATCAATGTCAACTGATCATCTTCAGACAATGTTCTTGCAGCAAATTAGGCTCAACGGATGCAAATGGCCTATTCGGTGGCACCCGGTCAACGGCCATGAAAGTATTTTTTTTACAGATGAAAAAATTTCATTGTTGGAGAAGTGAAACAATAAAGTTTACGCTAAAAATTGCAAAGACGCAAAATATGTTATTCCAAGGGTTCAATATGGTCATCATCCACCTGCTGTAATGGTTTGGTGTTTTACTTCTTTGAAAATGTGGTTAAAGCTGAAGTAAAAGTGTACCAGCAAGATGTTTTAGAAGGCGTGGGTCTTCCAGCGAGATTCTACTCCAGTACACAAGGCAAAAACCACACAGCAGTGGCTTAAAAGCTATATTCCTGGATAAGCCGTCTGGAAGTCCAGATTTGAATCCAATGGCCTACAATTTCTGGTAATAGTTGGAAAACATGGCATGTCGAATACCCCGCAGAAATTTGGAGAGTCTCAAAAAATCTGGTATTGATCAGTAGCTGAATCGTTTTAGGGCATGTGTGAAAGTAAATGGTGACCATATCGCATAAAATTTTATACATCACTCATTAAAATATGCATTATTAAATAAAATAAACTTTATGAACAATATATAATAAGTTCATTTTTATATCGGCCTGAACTTGTAATAAAACTTATGGCGAAACTAATTATGTATATATACTTGTAATTAGTAAACTTGTTGAGAATCATAGCTGAATATTAGCTGAATCATAAACTTTTTCCGTATCTTTTTCGAAGTGACACAAGGACGTAGAATATTTGATCACGAAGAGAGGCTTCTAGGTCATATTTGTACATCTACATTAAAACTGATAAAAAAAAATATATTTGTAATAAAAAATAATAATAAAATATATTTTTAATTCACTTCTGTACTTTCAAAAATTTACGTTCATCAGCGAAGTCATAAATTTTTCTGCTAAATGCCAGCATTTACAATCTATTTTCTCTGTTCATCCCGTTCCTATAGTTAGATGGTCAGTACGTCGATGACACTACTAAATTTATTTTGTTATCCATTAGCCATTGACCTCGACCTCGGCTGCACGTGCAGTCAACAAGCGCTTCATATGACCACACTAACTCCTTCCCTCGCTCACTCTCTTTTCGCTCGTCACTAGCAGCGTTCATATTCCTCAAGTACGAGTGCCGGCAAGTAGTCGAGAAAACAGTACTTTCACAGCTACAAATCAAAGGAGCGACCGACAAAGCCAATGACAGTTGGACGGCCACTTCAACATTTGACTAACGAACGGCCTTTCGCCACTCACAAAGTTTAAGTATTGCTTAGGAGCAACTTAAGAGTTAGAAAACCGGTAAAAAAAAAACCAAATTGCCATTTATATGTTCACCTCCAACACCTTAAATATTGCTAGTCAACACCAAAACCAATAGTCTAAATGAAAATCCATCAAATTTGGCGAATATGCAAAAGTGTTTGGCGAATTTTTATCGTTGTCTATAACGTCAAAGCTGTCCAACAATCTAGTGAATAGCGCTCCAAAAATTAGCCGAAACTCTGAAGGCACTGAATGTCATCTCAGCCGAAGTTTATAGCAGATGTATGAAAAATTGGTTTAAGTGTTGGCATGATTGTATTAGCTTAAAACCCTACCTTAAAGGCGATAATAAAGATTTGCAATAAAATACGTGAAAATTTAGTTCTTTTTGTCAGTCTGAGTTAAACTTGATCAGATGGTATATTGTAGCATCAGCTACGTTACTTTATAACCACACCATGTAAATACAATATTGTGTATGCTTGGCTAAGTCCCGATGTACTAGTGTGATTCAAGAGCTAAGTGTAGTTAGCGCTGTTTTTAGTGACTTACCATCGACGAGTATCGTTGCGGCGGCATCTGTGGGCACACCACCATTCGAGGCGGTGCGCCGGTGTCCGGTCAGGGCGCTGCGCAAATTCTTGTGATTAAAGAAACGTCGCCGTGTCGGTGGTGTGGCAAATGAAGATGCATTGATTGCATCGCCGGTATTATAATGTAACTGTTGTTGGTGTTGCTGTGGAGACTGTTGCATGCTGCCGCAGCCGCTGCTGTTGTTGTTGTTATTGTAATGGTTATTGCTAATATTATTGTGACCGTTGTTATTGTTGCTGCTGCTCGCTGTGCTGCTGACCGTATTGCAATTGCTGCCGCTGCCACCACTGCTGATGCTGCTAATGGTATTGCCATTATTATTGTTGTTGTTATTGCTAGCGTGGTGTATATCCGCTGTAACGGTATATGTTGTTTGCGATGCAGCCACCGCTTTCGGCAATTTACTAATACTTGCATAGCGATGATATTCCGGAGATATGGACTCCTGCCGGTTATGCTGCAAAGAAAGAAGAAGGGAAGAGAGAGAGATGTAGATGAAAAGCACAACATTTTACACAAAACGCAAAGCGAACTGTTTTTCATGTATGCTAGTGCGGAAAATGGCGGGGGGTACGCTGGAAATATTATGTTTTCTAGAGAAGGAATCTAATAATCAAATTTGCTTGCAGCCTATTGAGCATTGCAAGCAAATAACAACAAAACAAAAAACAGCAACAAATATACACAGGTCAGTTTACCGCGTAGCGTTTGCGGCGTTGCCACTTATCGGTGATGAAAGTTTAAGTACACATGAGTGCGAGTATTCTACACAAAGCGAAGATGAATGGCGCGACGGAAAATCATTTCGTGGATATGTGTTTATGTTGAAACATGCGGTTTCACCTTTGCACCACAGTGGTGATGGTACATTTTTTTTAACGAGAGGTTTGAAAGTGAAGAAATTACAATTTTATAAATGACAGGTAAGAAGAGGTGTTCTGTGAGCTGCTCTACGAGGGTGAACCAATCAGTATATACTTACTCAACAAAATAATAACTAAAAGTTTTGAAAATAAGCGATTTATTTTATGCATAGTCAGCTTTTAGCTCGAGAGGCTTGATCTAGAGTACATCCACATCTTAAATACGTCTGAATAAAATACGTTTTCTAAATTTCTGAAACGTAGATAGTAGACATAGAACAGTTTTCGCCTCCCAAGGAGCAGATTTGCGCGTGAATTCCATTGTTTCGACTATTCGTTGGTCTTGTTGTGTATTTATGAATTCATATTTCGTCGACGTTCACAAAACGAAAAATTTTCAAAAATTTTCAAAAATCCACAGACATGCCCGAACAAAATAACAAATTCGGTTCAAAAATTTTTGTAGTATATATCCACGCTTTACTTTGCTTTACTCCTATTTCTTCTATTTCACCTGGACTGTCTTATAGTATGAAATTCGAGGTGTTTTCGCCTTGATCTGGCAAAGGCGGAAAATTCGAGCAGGAAGTGATGAGATATTTCGATCTTTCAATGATGCAACTGGCATCCGGTAAAATGTTCAATATTGCCACAGCAATCCCGATCGGACAGTGAGCAGTTAGAACTCCTACAACCATTGAAATGTAGGTTTAGCTGAGAGCGAAGAGTTCACTAGACCTCTTACGATTTTCCCCGACCAGTGAGTCTTAATACTTATAAAATTCTCAACACAATTAGTTCTACGTTAGCGAAATCATTTATATCCAACCAAGAGCTCTAATATAGATTGCCGAACTCATTACGCAAATAATAAAAATCCAAATAGTCGATGGTCTTGACGGTTTCCGAGCGCCAACCTTCAAAAATAAATAATCTCTAAAATTTTAACAGCAAGAAGAAAACTTGTAGACCCATTTACTATATACTGTCGCAGAACGTACTAGGTTAACGTCACCACAATGGAAATGGACTTTTGTTCGACCAAGAACAGTTAAGTAGGTAGCATAACTCAAAACTATTTTGGTGCAACAACCAAAACCTTGCTGTATTTCACAAGCGATTGCCTACTATTGTTACGAGCAGTATTGTTGCGGCATCAACTACCGGTTAGTTTGGAATTTAAATCGAAAAAAGTCATGTTTCGGCTAAAAGTTCTGAAAAGCTCTCTTTGGTGTAGTTTGCAGGTTGTTCATGAATTACTTCGGATTTAAAGGAAACCTGTGTTTGTACCTACTGTTAAACCATACTAACGCCACCACTGGAACACCTAAATGTATGCTTATATCAATATAAATATTGGCGTACATTCTTCTCGTTATCGACACCAGTTCCGAAAGAATCTTACAATGTGGTAACAAATTCGCAAGTCGCGGCCGAGACTAATCAAATTAGCAAAAAATTTAAGAATATATGTACATAAGTATGACTTGAGAACAAGTGAGTATTTTAATAAAAATTGCGGATACTTTGTGTTTGTAACTAACGAAAAGTACAGTAATCCGCCGTCTAAATACTTATGATAGATAAAGGTTCCCTGTGGCTCTGGCACATGGCAAGTTCAAAAACATTTGTGGCTTTAACAACGGTATATAACAAGCAAATGGCTGTAGAGATAAAACACACGGCGGAAGAGTTGAGTTGAGAGTTGAGCAACAGGCGTCACGTATTGATTAGTCACATCCTCCAGACGGTAGAAATAAAACAAACAGAAGAAAACGAAAGAAAGGAAGATAAAAAGAAAGAATATATGATATAAAAAGAAACAATGGTAGAATAAAACAACAACCATAGGAGAGCTAAACCTTAGAATCAAGCACAGCCAAAGCTACGTCTTCCGTTGAGCTCAGCAAAGCATAGCGCGTAGGTTTTACATAGCAAAACCTCGTTCTCCGCGCTTATCTGCTCTGTGCTCTGCTTGGTGGCCTTAGTGGCGCGACGCTTGCTTTATTGTTTACCGAACATTGTTTCTGTTGCTAATCATTTTACTTGAATCATCCTTAGACGTTCAGTCAGTGGGCTGGCGAATGTCTCGCATGCGCATCTATCCAGAAGAGCACGTCGCCGGCCAAGGCATGTCACGAAGACTGAGGAGGATGTGAGTAGTTTCTCTAGATTGAACAGCACACATATACACGTTTATGTGGCTTCGCATGCCTCTACTCTTGTCATGGTTCTCAACTGGGCGTTTAGCGCATGCGTGTCGCGTTTATGCTACGCTTTGATACTCTACTAAGTGGTGTGCGTTTACTTGTTTCAGGGGGAAAAAAAGTAAGAAATACTCATACAACAACAAACATTTTGCGTTGGCTGTCACGCTATTTTTGTATGTTTTATTTTATATGTATCCAGCATAATTGTTGTTATTTTTGTTATTAGCCCAAAATCAATTTCATTCATGAAACTGCATATCGGCTGTCCACAAAAAAGTACAACAAAAACTACTTGCTGCAAGTGGGCTGGTAACAACAGTTGGTTTGCACGACTGATTGGTTTTGGCACAAGCAAATGATCAATAGCACGCACAGTGAGCAAGGTCTGCGTAAAAAATATGCAAAAAAATAAAGTACTGAATATGAAAAAATTATACTAATATGTAATTGTTTGACTAAGCTTGTATTTGGATCGTGATTTTAAAAGTTTTTTTTTGTACAGAAAGTGGTGTTTAAAATTATAAGCGAGCGGCCTTCGGCTCGTGAATTTCCATGAAGAGCTTCTTGAATTCAAGAATATAAACTTTTGAGCTTTTGTTACGTTTACGTTTTTAAGTTTGGCAACAAAAAGAAGTCGTAGATGACGCAACCTGTATAATACGGTGGATAGGAAAACAAATCGTTGACTAATTCGACTATTTTGACCGTGGCGAGGGCGGAGGTGCAAGCCGATGAGTTGCCGTAGTACAAGAGTATTGTTTTCACCGTCATTTACTACATGAAAGTATATTTCATTTGTGATAGCAGCGCCATCAGGCGGAGAGGGTAAGAATGGATGTAGATAGACAACCGGAGCTCGGGGATGATTGTAGAGCATTTTTGGAGAAAGAAAATCTACAAAAAATGTAGCCGAGCATCGGTCCCTCCTAAAAACTTGGGGCCCGTGAGAATATTTCCCCAATCTCATTCCATTTATATTTCACTGAGGATCTCCTGAGAATGCCGGGACCGTTAGGTTGTGTCCCCGATCTGCCCGCATGTCATCTCCACTTTGGATAAGTACTGCTCGGGCCGCCCTCGTGTTACGTACGTTTATATTAAACTGGCTAAGAATTACAGCTCAACAACGACGAAATTAGTATTCACACCGCCAAGTGAGCACTTGGACAGACAGCGTCAGCATTGTGGACAAGCTGTAATTAGCAGATGCTGCCAGTAGTTTCAATTTCTGTTATCATTTCAATTTCCTCAACAATTGCTTGGTGCTATTTGGCAATAGCAATTACAACAACTACTATAACAACGAAAGGTGTTTTCAAACAACATCCGCTCGCATTACACTTGCTCCCAGCAGTCTATTGCCACTTGACAGCCGCTACTGCCGACAGTGGCAACACTGCGCCTCTTTTGCATAAACTCTGGTTTATCTTTTTTTACTTTTTTTGTAGAAAGTCCGCTATCGTATATAGTAGCATATATGGAATATGTGTGTACTAATTAATTTAAATATTAACTACGCTGTGGCAGCCACAACAACTTAATCAACATATGTTGTGGGCATTTAAAATGCCACCTCGGGCGACATGCAGCTAGCTGTAATGGCCTGCAACACAATTATATGCTTTAATAGCAGCTGTGCTGGCAACACGACAGGCTAACTCACATGTTGCTAAGACTGCTGTTATTGCATTGTTGTTGTTGTGGCAGTAGTAGCTGACACCTAGCAGCTACATTCATGTCAATACATACCATATACACATACCTACATGTACTATATATATACGGGTATGTATGTGCGCATGCGCGCTGCGATGGCTCTAGGTTAGAGTAAAAGTAGCGAAGATGTTGCACCAACAGCCCCTCATATTTAATAACTGGTTTTCTTTTACCGTTCGAGCGTTTTTTGCTATGGCACTGACATACCTACATATGTTGGCGGTGTTGGGGCTCTCGCACTCAAATGTGTTTGGCAACTTTTTGTTGCCGAGTGATAGAAATTGTTGCTGTGAGCACTAATTATGACTAAAAATGGTTGCGTGAGTGGACATTTGGAAAAATTTTAAAAACAAAATTGTGCACATTCATCTGATCCTGATCCCTTCATAAGACAGTTATAAAAATACTAGTAAGTTCAACTCATTAGAGTTGAAGTTTGCTGGAAATCTTGTATGATTTTTCAGGAATTATTCAATGGTAAAAACATATAAATCAATTTTCGAGTTGATTCGATTCATTGCATATTATTTTTTTCTATGATACTATTCAATTAGATTTCAGTTAGTCTTTTTCTAATTTTTTATTGACCGCTAAATGGACTAAACCAATGTCAGGGTCAAAGTCAAAGTTCATTGCCGCAATTTCTCATTTTAAGCAATCAAAGATAT